CCTGAACACGGGCAGGGGTTCCAGTCCGCGCCCTGGCTCTGCGATCGCGGTCATGCTAGGACCGCCAACCTCTGGCTCAGCCGCACTCCGTTCTCTATCCCTGAGGGCTCCCGTGTAGTCGCTGGCAGGGCCGTGGGCGGGGGCACCGAGAGGCGAGGACCCGGCTGCCCCATTTGGCTCATGGCTCCTCAGACACACTCCCTCGCTGACACCCAGCACTGGCCAGCAGACACAGAAACCCACGGGGCAGGCTGACACACAATGGCACACACGCTCATGTGGACACACGGACACACTCATCCATGGGCATGCTCATGCTGTCTCACACACACACACACACACACACACACACAAACACACACACACAGACATTCACTGCCACACACTGATCACACACAGTGACACTGTCACACACTCAGTGGTACCACTTGTCAACACATTCTTCCTGACAGTCATGTTGGCATACACAGTCACACTCCAGCACACATCAACTCTCACATACCTACATGTTGGTCTACACTGTACACACCTACACTGTCACTCTAGGTCACTGTAACAGACACGCTTACTGGCATGCACAGGTTGTTACCCTTACTGACATGACTGCTTATGCGGGCACCTGTCTCACTAACATGGTGTTCGCAAGACGGCACCAACACTGACCCCAGCAGACACAAACCAGACTAATGCCCACACCGACCGGCACCCCATGGTCACGGCTAAGAAACCCGGGGCTGCTGACACACTCACTCCAGTCCCCACATGGAGAGAAGTGGAGACACACACATCACACAGTGGGAGGCCCCGGAGCCTGGGAAAACGCATCCTATCCGCTCATTTCCTTTCCCTCTGACCTCCCTGAGGCCGGGCTGGCTGGCCAGGATCTGTTTGGAGCTGGAGGTGGGACAGGGGCTCCTCTCTGAGGAGCCTGCCCTGACTCAGAAAGGGAGAGGATATGTCTCTGAAGTGGAAAACTGGGACAAAAAGGGGAAGGGGCTGGGGCTGGGGCAGGGTGGCCCCTGGGGATAGCCCTGGTCAGGTGCTCAGCTTTGCACCCTAGCTCTGCCCCCTCAGTCTGCCCACTTCCCTAAGTTCTGATAGAAGCTTCTCCCTTACCTCCTCTTCTTACCTCTTCTGCAACCCTTCTTGCATTTTTTCTCTCTTTCCTCTCTCCTGTCCTTGTGTGCCCCACTCCTTCCTCTTCTCTTCCCTCTCTCCACCCTCCCTCTCTCCTTGCTTCCAATAATTATTTGAGCCCCTGCTGTGTACCAGGCATGGTGCGGGGATCAAAGATGTGTGCTGCAGGAGCTAATGGACTAGGGAGCAATGACCCGCAGTGGTCATCATGTCGTGGGACCACAGACAAAGCAGTTTCACACCCACAGCCACCTGACACACTCAGCAGCATGAGAGAGGTCTTCCAGAGATCATGGACATTTTCCAGAAGAAGAAATTGAGGCTCAGAGGTAACTGGTGCTCCTAAGATTTAGAAACTGCTTCCTAGCCATCCTCCTGACAGCTCTTCAAGGGGGTTAATTTTCCTCTTCCTGTTTTCTTGAAGAGGAACCAGAGCAAGAGAGGTTACCTGACTTGCTTAAGCAGGGGCCAGAGGCAGGGCCTACACTGGAGCCCACTTGGTCCTGTTTCTCTGTGGCTTGGTCTTGGGCACTGCCATGCCCCCGGGGGGTCCTGGGTATGAGGCCAGGTGGGGGTGCCCTGCTCTGTGTGTGGAGGCCCAGGCTGGTGCTGGAGGCTTCAGAGGACTGTGAGGTGTCTGCACGCACCTTAATGGCTAATCCCCTGTGACCCAGGCCTCTGTCCTCAGCAGGAGGGTGTGACTCTTTTCCACATCCATGTCCCCCTGACCATTGAGGTGAGACTTTTCTCCCGGCAGGAAGTCAGGAGCCTCCTCTCCTTCATTCTTCCTGTGCTGCTTCGCCATCAGGGTGACTCAGCCCCTCAGCTCGCCTATCTGTGACTTGGTCCCCTGCGGCCATGAGTTGTCAGCAGGGTGAGGACACCATGAGCAGCCAGGCATCTCTTGGAGACCCTGTTCTTGGAGGCAGGACCTTTTCCGTGACTCCCCCTGCTCTGCATCTAACTCACTGGGGGACCTTGGAGACGTTGGGCAATTGTCTTCACCTTTCAGGACCTTAGTTTTCCCATCTGTAGACTGGAGCTATTAATTCTTAACATTTTCAGGACTCTTCTTGTGTTTACTGAGTTCACTGGGCAGGGTAGGAGGTGTTGCCTGGCTACACTCCACCCAACCATAGCCCTGCTCCCCTGTCAGTTTTTCCTGTAGCCCCAGTTGGCCTCCCTCTCCCTCCCAGGCAGGTTTCCCGAGTAATTTGGAAGAGAAGGGTAAAAATCAATAATGGGCTGTACCTTGCCTTGTTCCATGAGCAGTGGGACTCTGCTTTATCTCGGACTTGGACGAGGAAATGGCAAATATCCAATACTCTAAGGATTAGGAGTCATCACATCCATCCCTGTGCCTGGATTTGCATCCCCACATGAAAGTGACAATGGGAATTACTCAGAAACTGCCACTCCCCTTTAGGAACTTTGGGGTCAAGGGGGGAAAACAAATACCCGGATAGGACTCATTATAGGCAGGTAGTATGCTGACTGCTCCAACAAGGTGCTCTGGGAGCAAACATAGATCCATTCTACAAATGTTGACTGAATGCCAGGGCTGGGGGTTCAAGATGAATGGCTCCACTCTGTCCCCAAAAGATTAAAAGCAGAGTAGGTGATTGTAATGCAGGGTGACATGTGCTGTGAGAGGCTAAGGAGGAGTCCCAACCCAGTCCGGGCAGGCGACATGGTGAGGAAAGCTTTCCTGGGAAGGAGGTGGCATTGGGGCCAGTGAGTTTCATCTGGAAGGATGAGGAGGCCAAGTGGGTGGGATTGGGGACGTCATTCCTGGCCGAGGGTGCAGAATGTGCAAAGGCTGGGAGGCGTGAAGCAACATGCGGCCTGCGGGTTGGGCAGGGGATGCTGGGTGAGCCTTAAGAGGTAAACACAGGCCAGTCATCAACAGCCTGGAATGTCAAGCTAAGGAGCAAGGCTTTTCTCCTGAGTGGAAAGTGACTCAGGGAGGAGTGTGAGGAGGGGCGAGATGGGAGCATATTTTCATTTCAGAGGGGGGCCTTTGGCCGTGGCAAGGAGAGTGGATGGGAAGAGCAGGCCTGGAAGCAAGGAGACCTGTGAGGAGGTGGAGGAGGAGGAGCCTGAGAGAAGGTGAGCTCTGAAGGAAGTCTGTGGAGAGGATGGAACTGAGAAACATGAATAAGGAGGTGGAGCCATTTAGCTGAGTGGTTGGGTGTCTGGCATGTGTCAGGAGTTACATGTATGATCTCATTTGGTTCTCCCAATGATCTGATCCTATTAATGTAGGGACTGTTGTTCCCATGTCACAGATGAGAAAACAGACTAGGAAAGATTAAATAATTTGTCCACTGCCATTTAGCCAACAAGCTTCGGAACCCAGGCCTGTCAGCCCACGAAGTCCCTTTGCTGCTCTATCCTCTCACTTAGAGGAAGGGGGCTTGTCTGGCTCACAATTGGCCTCCCCCAGCTCCCTGGTGACCCCATCCTCAAGTTGTGCCTCCCTTCTGGTTCTTGCTGTTCCTACTAACTCAGTTGGCAACACCGAGGATCAGAGTTAGATAATAGGAGGGACTTCCCGAGAAGCAGTGGGATGGAATGGATTTTCCTTTCCTACAGATGTTTACGAACATTTCTTTTCTGGTGGGGGAGGAGGGTGGGTATGATGGGGACGCATAACCACCAGCTGTCTGTGAGCCTTGGCCCTTGTCTGCCTTGGCTGTTGTCTCTCTTGGCGGTTAAGCTCTGTGTGACCCATCTTGGCTAGAACATGGGGAAATCCTGTGGCTTTGGCCGGGGTCACTTGTGGGGCTGCTGGGAACAGAAATGTTGAGCCTGACACACCGTCTATGATCCCCGGTTCTAGGCCGGCCTCTGGGCTCAGTCTTCTCTCCATGGCTGTCTTCCTTCCGAGCGTGGGCCTCCTTGCCCAAGATTGAAGCATGGGTTCAGTGGTCCTGAGTTGTGGGCTGGCCACACCTCAGCGCTGCGGCAATGGAAGAACACAGGCTGGGGTCAGCGTGCCCTGGGTGGCTTCCTGGAACTGCTGCCAGCAAGACCATATTGACCATCTAATGAGGCCTGCAGGGGGGAAGGGGGGAGGAAAGGGGGCAGCAGCTTGGCAAGGATCCAGGCTGCAAGTTGAGGAAGATGGTAGAAACACTTCTTGTACATAGAAGGGGTGGGGGGAGGGGAGGGATGGAAGTGGGAGATGGGAATTTGAAAGTCTTCTGTTTAGAGCCGGTAGTTGACTTGGGGAGGGTGGTCTCATGGCACAGGGAGAAGGTGTGGCTTATGAAGAGAGGATAGTTAGGGACAGCTGGGGCCTTGGAGAGCACCGATGGCCATGGCTGAAGGTGGAGAGAGGAGGGAGGACGCAGGGCAGGCTGTGTCCTGGGAGCCAAAGAAACAGGGAAGGACCAGCAGAGGAGGAGGAGGTGGGGAAAGACCCCTTGGATTTAGCCAGAGGGCACTTACTGTTGACTTGGTGAGGGGTCTGGGCGGAGTGGCGAGGACAAAGCCAGGGGCAGAGGAGAGGGGGAAGACCCTGTTATTCTTCGTGCCTGGAGCTGGGCTGAGCCTCTTGGAGGAAGGGTGAGGCCCTGGGTGGTGGGGAGAGCCCAGCAGTGTTTGTGGACCTGGGGCATGAGGCTCAGCTGAGGGCTGGGAGGGACATTTTGGGAGTGTGAGCTGGTCACAGGGGAGGCATGTCTGTGCTGACTCCTGAAAGAAAGTCTTGGGGAAGGCTTCTTGGAGGAGGTGCCCTCTGAGCTGGGTCCTGGGCGTGAGGAAGGCTTAGGTGTTTTAGACAGAAGGAAGAGCCCGTGCCAAGGTGCAGATGGTGGGTGCAGGCACTCGAGTGTGAGGGTCGAGGCTGCCGATGGAGATGGTAGCCCTGGCGCGAGGGCCTTGGGGGCTGGGGTGGTGGGTTTCCAGGCACTTTCTCACTCGTTTATTTATACCCAGGTGGCTCTGTTCTCCACTGGGGGAGCTCCTTGTGGTTCGGTGTGATTTCTGTTTCCTGTTTGCTGGTCATTATTCACCTCTGGGTCTGGGCCATAGGAGATGTCTAGCAGGGATTTATTGACCGGACTGCACTCCTTCCTCCCTTCTTGCCTCCGCTATCAGCCTAGGGACTCCCTAATTGCTGAAATTAGGTCTTTCCCATTGGGGAATCCTAAGGATGGAAGCCATGCTTTCCACATTAGCCTGGATGCTGGGGATCTCCTCCATCAGATTGGGAAGTCTGGGAGGGGCGGGGATGTACCACTCCTATTAGAATTGGGTTCCTGCGAGTACAGCCTGTTTCTCCCCCATGAGGCAGACATCTGCAGGTGGGAGCCATGTCTCCTCATCAGAATGGGGGCTCCTGAGGGTGCAGCATGTCTCCAGCACAATCCCTGGGATTAGACCAGGCATTATCCCTGATGGTTCCTAGGCATCCTCCCTCCTGCCCGCCCTCCTATGTGCCAAAGAGATCCTGCCCCAGGGGTGGCTTGTGTCCTAGTAGGGTATGTAGAACAGGGGGTGGGGCAGGACAGGATGGCTGCCTTTGAGAGGGGAACAAAGGACTCTGTTGTCCCAACCCCCCCTCCCCCTCCCTCAAGGAGCTCTGGCAGGGTCATCTCTCTGGAGACAGGCCTCCTCCTTCCTGGGGCTGGCCTTTAGTCCCACTTTAGAGGAACTGCTTGTTCCATCCCAGGAGACCTGGTGCCAGACAAGGCCCCCAGGAGGCCAAGGCCCAGGGACTGGACCAGCTAGGTCCCTGGAGTTCTATATGACTGAAGTCATCACAGCTACGGAGCAGCTTTCCCTCGGCCTATGTCTGGGCTGGGCCTGGCTGAGAACACAGCCAGTCCAGTGGGGCCCGCTGTACCTGGAGAGGGATCTGTCTGTCTGGAGAGGGAATCTGTCTGTCGGTCTAAAGCAGCGGTTCTCAACCTGTGGGTCGTGACCCCTTTGGGGAGTCGAACGACCCTTTCACAGGGGTCGCCTAAGACCATCGGAAAACACATATATAATTACATATTGTTTTTGTGATTGATAACTATGATTTAATTATGTTCAATTTGTAACAATGAAATGGGGGGTCACCACAACATGAGGAACTGTATTAAAGGGCCGCGGCATTAGGAAGGTTGAGAACCACTGGGAGAGTGTGGAGCAAGGCGGGGCGCTGTGGCTGATGTCAGGCCAGCAGGAGGCAGGACTCTGCACTCAAGGGCTGAGCTGCTCAGTGGCCACGCAGGGTGTAGCTCCTCTCTCTGGGTGCACCCAGAGCCCCAGAAACTGGATGGGGCAGGAGGCCCCGCCCCTTCTGGCCCTTAGCCTCTAGGTGTGCTCAGAGAGAAGGGGCAGACTGCTTCCTTTTGCAGCTCCCCCCCCCCCCCCCCCCCCCCCCCCCCCCCGAGAGAAGGGGCAGACTGCTTCCTTTTGCAGCCCCGCCCCCCCCCGCCCGCCCCTTCTCCTAGCCTGTGCAATCAGTGGCCATCCGTGTGTTTTGGAAAAGGACGATGGGAGAGGGTAGGGAGTGGACAGCTGGGATGCACCATCTCAGGAAGGTCCCAGAGTTATGCCCTAATGCTTACTCATTGCCGTGTGACATTGGGCACGGCATTTATCTTCTCTGGGTCTTGCATAAGGCCCCTTTCCTGTGTTCTGTTAGTGTGTTTTGGGGTGACCTTTCTTCTGGAGTACCAGAAGTGGGGGAGTGGGCAGCTCAGGGCTCTGTCACAGACCTGGGGGCTGAGACTGCCAGGTTGATGGGCCTGGGTGATGTGGGTGGTGCTTTCTCCAAGTCCTCACCTCAGCAGCCTCCCACCTCTCTAAGCACCTGCATTCTCTCTGCCCAGGCTGTTCGCTCCTCACGGACACCCTCCCATGGGTGTCCGCAGGCTCCTCTGTGATCTGATTAGCATAGATTAGAGGCTGATTAGAATACTGGGTAGGCTCTAGCAAAAACCAGATTTCCTGGTTTCAAATGCCAGCCCTGCCAACTACCAACTGGCTGACCTGCCCCGATGACTTAACTCTTTCTCTGCTGCAGCTCCCTGGTCTGCAAAATGGGGTAGTAATAGTGCCTGCGCAGTAGGTTGCTGAGAGGATTAAATGAGTTAAATAGCATTTTGTGCCCCCCCCCCCTTTCTGGCACTGGCCCACCTCTCTGTGTGGGTCTTGGTTATTTGCACACGTGTGGATGTCCTCTCTGTGAGGCCAAGGGCACCTCGCCTGGGTCTGTTGTCCCTAGCACCTGTGCGGACCTGGCATGGCACTGAGCTCCATAAATATTTGTTTAGTGAACGAAGGAGGCTGAATGTAGGTATTTCACTGGGAAAAGATATACTTGGCGGGCGGGGGCGAGGGGGTAGGCAATATTGTTGGTGAAAACAATGGGACATCATTGATGATGCTGAAATGTCTAAAGGTGGCCCTGAGCCACAGGCATTAGGTTATTCTTTGTGACCCAAAGGGTGAAGGTCACTAGATGAAGGGCTTTCCCTTGCTGGGAGAAGGTGTTTTCTGAAAGCCAGAGCTGCCTGGAAAGGAGATTGCTGGCTCATTCTAGCCTCAGTGCCTTTGTTCCTGCTGCTCCCCCCTCCCACCTAGAATGCCATCCTCACTTCTCTCTGCTTGTCCAAATCCTATTTCCTAAATAAGTGCCCTATCCATGGAGCGTCCTTTCCTGGCCCTCAGAGGGTGGGCTAAATTCACCACATCATCGCCATCCTCAGACATTACTGAGCCTTTTCTGGGTCTGGGCAGTGGTACGGGAGAATGGGTAGTTCCTGGTTAGGATGGACATCTGGATCTGGCTACAGTCTATCCAGTGTGGTTTGACCTGGCATGAGGAGGGGACCATGGCTTCCGATGACCCACTGTTGATCAAGGAGCTCTTTATGCAGCTGGAGAGCACAGAATTCCCATTGGCTTCCACTGGGCAAGTACCCAGACCCACCTAATTACTGGGGACAGAGTTCTGGGCATTGCATCCAGCAGGCTGAGGTCATAATCAGCTAATTAAACCACCCAAGAATTGCTCCTTGGCCAGAGGAGTGGAGGGAAAGGGGGTGGGGGACGGTGAGGCTCAGAACAGATGTGAGAATGAGAGGGAAGCTATGCAAGGGGGGTTCAGA